ATATATATAATAATATATATATATTTTAGGAACAATTATATTTGGACATTTCAGTCCCTCTCCTTCAATAACTGATAAAACAAGTAGACAGGGTATAGATGTGCCTTAACAAAGTTGTTACCGGTCACAATCCAATGTGATACACCCTTGGGGAGCATTTCTGAGGAGACCTAGGACCCAGAACACAAGGAGGTGCCCGCAGGTGTCCCTCGGTAGGGTGTGTTCAGGCCCCGCCCCGCAGGGACAAACCCCCGCCTCCCAGGCTCTCCCGACTTGCTTCTGGCTCCACCGTGTGGTAGTTCTGGGTTCAGCACGGGGCCTTCCTGCCGAGGGTTGGGGCAGGAGTGAGCAGGGTTCTGGAAAGGCAGAGCCTCGGGGAGAGAGACGGTGGCACGCCTGTGGGAGGGAGCACAGGGCCAGGAGCCAGGAAACTGGGCTCTCCACGCCAGCTGAGTCACCACCACGCAGAGGCTGCAGGGGCCCTACTAAGGAGTGACAGCAGAGGGTGGGGGTTGTGGGGCGGTGGCAGAAAGGCACCCCGTGTGACTGATCCACCCTGGAGCTTGGGAAGCTGCCTGGATGTCCCTTTGGTATGTAGGTCTCTTGGTCTATAGAGGGGAGCAACAGGCAACTGTAAGTCTTGAAGCAAACGGGCTGCTGACCACAGAGTCATAGTGTCCTGGTTGTACGTCCAGGAGAGTAACCCATCTTTCTGGTATTTTGGAGAGCTGGCAGAGCCAGACCGTGAAGGATTTCTGCCCTAGTGCAGATTCGGGTTGATTTCAAGGGCCGTGGGAAGCCACCACAGGTTTTCATCACGGGGAGGACAGGATCGACCCTCCAGTAGGGTCACTGGAGGCAGCAGAGACAGCCCTCCCATGCTACCTCCAGATTCAAAGGCCTTGATCCGCACACGCCCTTGCACACATCTTCCCCCCGAGCCTCACGTCCCAGCACAACGCCCATTCCTCAGCGGAGAAGCCCAAGGCCCAGAGAACCAGGAGGCTGGCCCCCGGTCACATAGCAAGTATGCTGTCTACACAGTCTGGATCAGAACCTAGCTCTTCTGTCACTGAGAAGCTCGTTGCTTTCCTTAAGAAAATATTTATTGCTTTAAAAAAAACTTCTACCCTGGAAACAGATGAAAGCAACAGTTATTCAAGCAGCACTGATGCAAACAGCAAAAGCTGAAAGGTATCTAACTCTACCCCCTTGGGACTCTTACCCACCCCCAAGGTGAAACCTCTTCAGTGGTTTGCCGAGTGGTGTCCAAGCCCTCACTCTACACTAAGACACACATGTACATATGTGTGCAAAATACAGATAGGCTTGTCCTGTGGCGGGGGGGTGGGAGCACTTGTTATCGCTTTGCACTATTCCCCACAGTACGTATGGACTGAGCTCTCCTTCGGATGCGTGCCTTAAAATTGGCTTGGACAGCTGGAACTTTCTTCCCAGCTACCCGGGCTGTCTCCGCTGCTTACAGTGCCCCTTAGGCAGAGGCTGGACCCAGGGCCCTGGTCATCGAAGAGCCAATGACCTAAGACACTATCCTCTGTTTGCGGCGTGTCCCACTGATGGCATCCGGAAGGATTTTAGATTCATGCCCGGCTAGATGTACATGGAGGGAATCTGAGGTCGTCCCTAGAAACACACTGTTCTTTTCATTTCAGAGAGTAAGTATTAATTGAACACATGTCAGGGGGAAAAAAATCCTCTGTACATCAAACCAGTGATTTGAGGGTTTTCTAAATTTCCTTTAACACACGCTTTATTTAAGTTTAATGAAATGAATCTATTTAAAGAGAAATGTTGGGTAAATAGTAGCACAGGTGGAACGTGGCTATGGCCGGCTCCCAAGTGTGGAAAGTACCCGAGCAAGGTTTGGGAGCTCCCAAGGGAGGGGCCGGGCTGTGCAGCCAGGAGCCAGGGGTTGCTTCCCTGAAAACAATGAAAGGCATGGACCAAACTGGCAAACTCACACGCCATTGTGAGGGTACTGGGGAGTCCCTGAGGGTTGGGTTTTTGGTTGTGGTTTTTTTTGTTGTTGTTTTTGTTTTTTCACCAGAGGAGCAACTTTAAGAACACATGAAGCATAAGGTCTTTGGGATGCTACAGCCATACTGGTAATTTGTTGTGCTGTTTGGCCAATGCCAACAATGTTCTCTAGGAATCAGGCTTTAAAAAAAAAAAAAAGGGAATCGGGCTTCAAATGAAGAAGGGATCTGGGGTGCACGTGAAGGAGATTTGCTAGGTGCTTAAGGAAAAATCGCATGTGTCAGACCTTGGAGACCTCCAAGGAAAGACTGTAAAAGCAACAGTTTTATGGTGGAGAAGGCATAGGCAGGCAGCTGCCCTTCCTCTGCTGGCCCTGGGTGTCTCCCACATGGCCCTGTCAGCTAGCAGCCGGGGCTCTGAGTCCATCTCTGCCTCCCCCACACACAACTCCTGCCCCCCTCCCTCCCTCCATGCCTCCCTCTGGCAGAACGGCAGAGAGAAGACAGCTGGAACCTTGGGATTACTGCTTTCCAAAGGGGGATGCCAAAAACGTATCTACAGGGTGATCTCAACCATGTTCTGAAAAATGTATGAACGTACGGGAGGAAAACATAAAAAGGTTAACCAACAGCAGTCTCCTCCAGTTGGAGGAAAACCAGTGATTTTTCTTTTCCTTAAAGAGTGGAGAGGAGAAAGGACACAAAGCTGAGACCCCCCCAGCAGCCATACAGCCCCCAAACTAGCTGAGTTCAGACGGGGCCACAGCAAATGCCCCCGGGGAAGACGGTGCTGGCGCATGAAGCTAGCTCAGCCCAGGTGACCGTGTCAAGGTGAAAGAAAGCTCCATCCTGGTATTTAAACTGAAAATCAACTCAAGGCGGAAATCAGCACAAACACGCTTTATAGAGAAGGGGAGTGAGCCTGGAGCACGGCCCGGGTTTTATTGATAGAAGGCTCGGTCCTGCCCTCGCTGTGCTGAAGCAGGCGGCCAGGCCTGGCCAAGGCAAACAAAACAGCCTGACCCAGCTGGGAGCAAACCCCACTCCAGGCCGTTGGCGGCTGGGGGCCGCTCGGCACCCACGGGGGACACTTGGATCCCCCCATGTGGTTCTGTATGGCTCCTTCTATAGTTCAGTGGGGGATCTACTCTAGACACGGCCTCAATTCAGCTTCCAGAGGGTTCTGAGGTGGCGTTCTCTTCCCAAGAGAGGAGAAGGGGCCACTTCGCTTCCAGAGACTCAGACTTGGAAGGCCTCGTGTGCTGCTGGCATCCCAAGCGGGAGAAGAGGTATAGAGCAAACACCAGGGCCTGCTCTGGGGCCTTCCGCCCCCCTCACCTGCCAGGCTAACCTGCTCCAGGAAAGGCTTTCTCAACCTCCGCACTTGTGGACATTCAGGGTCAGGTGATGCTTTGTTGTGGGGGCCTGTCCTGTGTCGTGGAGGGCAGTCAGCAGCTTCCCTAGTCTCCCCCATCAGATTCTAGTAGCATCACCCCAGTTGTGACAACAAAAAATGTCTCCGGAAACTGACATTTTTAGGAAACGTTGCTGCCCGGTGTGCTGTGTAACCACCCTCCTCCATCTCGTAAGGCAAACCTTCAGCAAAATTCTGCAGCATTCACCCGGGTTCAGGAGGTCCGATTCGTCTCCTTTTCCTCCTCACCCCTCATGGGGCAAGGCCCTCCCAAGAGGCCTGGCTACATTCAGGCTACACCATAAACAGTTACAATTCCAAAGTGTGTGGAAGAGGCAAAGAGTTTTTAAAATATTTATCTTAGAATCAATTCAATCTCACTCTTATAAAAACATACATCATATTTGTTTTCTAGCAATGCTTTCTTAGTCGGAGAAAAGAGGTGGGGGTGGTGATTACTGCGGTCAGCTAGTATCAGGATTTGGGGTCGACTTGGGATTTCCCAGGGCCACTGGTATTCTCTTCAGGAAATAACGAGTCATCCAGCACCTATATTGTCTCTCACAACACTCTGAGCATTTTCCTCATAAACATGGTGCCTATTTGATTATCTCGTTCCCCGATGCTGCTGCCAGCCCAGAGAGGCCAGGGGCCATGTCTGCTCCCTTCATCACTAAGTCCTTGGCATCTCTGGGCCTTGCATACAGTCAACCTTCAAAACATATTTGCTAAATGAATGAATGAATGATATCTGGGGACCCTCCTTACATCCTTGACTAGCAACCATGGACTCATACATTAGGGATCAGATCAAATGTCACCTCCTCTGGGAAGTCTTCCCTGATTTCTCCCAACAGAACCAATTGCCTCGTGTACTCAGAACACTTGATTCATACTTTCCATTGCAACATGCATCATGGTATACACTACTGGGTTGTATTCTGCCTCCCCTGCCAGAATGTAAGCTCTCTGTGGATAAGAACTGCAATGATGTATCATTTACGATCTCCACTCTCCCCAGCGCTCGGCACACAGGGGACACTCAATAAATCCTTGTTCAGTGCAAGAATCAAAAAATGTTCTCCCGACTCCATTCCAAATCCTAGACGTCAAAGTTTGGACGCATCTATTCCCTGGTTCTTTAACACAAGTTAAGAATATCTCCCTGGCCCTTCTGAGGTTGAATCTAGATTGGCTGCCTGATTGGCCCACGGCATGACATGCTTAAAGAGCCTCAGCCCCAAAGTCCCTACTGCCCCAGGGCCACGAGGCTTCAAGGGACCTTCAGGAGCCTTCTCTCCTTTCTATCCTCACTACACCTGCACCTCTGGCTTAAAATCCTAGGTCAAGGCAGGCCCTGCACTTGGAGAGACCTAACGAGGATTTCTGAATATCTACACACTTCTTGGGGTCACTGTTCCTGTTCCATCCTGCTGTTCCCTTGAAAAGGGGTGTGTCTGGCCAGAAGGGGACCCCAGCATCCAGCTTGCATGGAATGCATGCTGACCAGAGCTCCTGGGCAAAGAACGTGGAGCCTAGGCTACCAGCAGAAGCCATTCTCCACCCGGTCCTGGAGCTCTGCTCCCTACCTGGCTGAAGATTGGAGTGAGGGTGCTTTCTGGAGAGGGTCTGTCCCGGGATGGGCCTTCCTGCCGACTGCAGTCCAGCTGGATCAGGTGACGGCACTCCGGGTGGCAGGTGAATTTACAGTCTGGAAGGAAAGAACCACCGGGAGGTTAGGAGTCAGGTAGGATCCTGTCCACTTCCACCCAGAGAAACACCCCGGGAGACTGCGTTTAGCTCCAAGAAGGAAGAACATGCAGGAGAGAAGTGGCAGCTGGGAGAAGAGCCCACGGCCAGCAGGGATGCTGAGAGTTAACGCGTATTTTACACGTTGGCAAACTGTTTCCACCTCCATTATTTTGTGTGACCTTGCAGTCATGATTATTGCCACTTCACAGACAGGAAACTGGGGTCTAGGGACCTTAGGGACTTTCTCAAGGTCAGATTGTCTGACTTCAGGCTGGTGCTCTTTCTACCAATTTATATTAATCACCGGGGGATCATGGATCCCCAGAGAAAGATTTCACTTTTCTGGGCCTCATTCTGCCAATTCGTGAAATACAGGTAATAGCTTCCCTGCCTGGGGCCCAAGGAAGTATCTGGTTCCAGGGGAGAACAGGTCTTAACAAATTAAAAGTGCCTCCAGGGACAGAGGCATTTTCATCCACAGGAAGGGCTGTTGCCTGTCTCCAACCCTGACCCCGCTCCAAACGTGGAGGTGGCTTCTCTAACCCAGCTGAAAGGGTCTACGGTGAACATTCCACATCAGGTGCCCCATGGGAGAGCGCGCGTCTCATAGACAATGTTCATTTCCATGGAGGCGGGACTTAATTTCCAGGGTTGAAAAGAGCCTTGGGAACTACTCTGGAGGTGGGGAGACCGGGGCTCAGAGGGGTGAGTGAGTTTGCCCAGTGACACCCAGCTCAGCGGCGGAGCCTCTGCTGGGGCCAGCGAGGGTCGGCCAGGCGGCCCTTACTGCGGAGGGCGGCTGTGAAGCAACGGGTGGCCACTAAAGACACCCACGCACGCCCACCAGCAGGTGAAACCTTCGGACTTGCTCCGGTTTCAGTGGGGCCCCCACAGAGAGCTGCTGAGCCTTCTGGGCTCACGTGTCCTAGAGGTGCCACAGCTCAGCCAGAAGATCCTCCAGCTTGGGTGTGAAGTCGCTCTTGGGACTGGCTTCCTGACTTTGCAGCCAGGTGTGTGGGGATGGGCGGGTGTGGGCAGGGTTTGTGGCAGGGGGTACGATAGCCCGCCCTCATTTGGATAACCTGGGAACCACTTTTGGCTGATAAGAGCTCAGGTTCTGGGATGCCTGGGCGGCTCAGTTGGTTGTGTCTGCCTTCAGCTCAGGTCGTGATCCCAGGGTGCTGGGATCGAGTCCCACATTGGGCTCTCTGCTCAGAGGGAAAGCCTGCTTCTCCCTCTGCCTGCCCCTCCCCCTGCTTATGCTCTCTCTCTCTCAAAAAAATAAATAACATCTTAAAAAAAAAAAAAAAGAATTCCGGCTCCTGACACTCTTTTCCTTCCTTATAACAAGTTCCAGAAACCAGCCCATTTGGACTTTTCCTTTGAAAGCCGCTGTAGCACCCTCCATCTTGGGCCAGGGGTGGGTCTCCTCTTCTCCCACTCTTCTGGGGAGTTTTGAAGGGAGGCCCCCACTCTCCCCAGCTGCCCTCTTCCTTACCCCCCGCCCCCCGCCGCGAAAGGTGAGCACCTGGGCCACATGCCTCCCACAGGTCTTGCCATGAATGTCTGCCGGAGAGCACACAAATGCAGAGACACGCAGATTCCAGAACCCCGTAACCATCTCACTCAATGGTCTGAAGCCCCCGGCCACCTTTCCAGGATGGCAATTAGAAGCTCTCTGACTTACCGGCCTCCTGCCAAAGGCCACCAACATCTCCTCCTTCAGACCCCACCCCTGTCTAAGCCTTCCTGACTCTCCTCCATAGAAGCCTTCCCCTCACCTGGGGACGGAATGGCGAAGCCGTTGTCTGAGGTGGGCACCCCATGCCTCCAAGTGCCCACATGCATTCCCGGCCCCCTGCCCCTGTAGGAGATCTCTGCCCCGCACAAGGACAGCCTCACGCCTAGTGGGGTGAACAGCACAGGGGGTGTGCGGGCCAGGCCTCCCTTGCCTGAAGTGCCCGGAAATGCCGGGGCTTTGCTAAGGCAGCCCCGAGGCCAGAGGCCACACAGAGGAGCATTGTTCTGGGACTCCGCTCCTGGGACGCACCTGTACCACCTCTGGCAGCGCACTGAGCGGTGAAGAATGCCACGGGGATGCCAAGAAGGGGAAACAAGGGAGAGAAGCAAGGACTAGAAGCTCTCCTAACTCTACAGCAGGCAAAAGCTGTCACCAGCTCACAAATGGGGAAGCGGCTCGAGACAGGAGAAGGTCTTCTCGTCTCTTCTTTGAACTCCTGGTACCTCTGACACAGGCACTGTATGTACCTCTGTGTCTCCAGTTCTCTCACATTCTGTCTATCCATCTGTCTGTCTCTCTGACACACACAAACACACACATGGCCCCGAAAACAGCACCAAAACCTCAGGAAGATTTTTTTTTTCCTTTTTACAGTCCCGACGCCGCGCTGGACAGAGCCAAGGAACGGAAGACTCCAGGAAGAGTATTGGGGATTTTATAAAAAGCACATTTGAGCACCAACGACGTTGTTCCATCAGACCGTGTAATCACAGACTGTAGCAAAACCACTGGAACACGTCTTGATACTTCCAGGCCCCTGGAAATGCTAAGCCCAGGGCTTTTCGGACAGCAGAGATGAAGTCAGAGCCCCATGCCCTGCTCTAAACACAGAAGCAAGCCCCACCGGCCCACAAGCCTGCAGGCCTGACATGCTCCTGGTGGAGAGATCCGGGAGGTTCCAGAGGCAGGGCTGCGTTCCCCTGGGACTAGGTGGGTGACCCCCACAGGCCATCTTTCCCCCAAGACAGCTCACCATGAGGGCTGCCAAGCCAACTACTTGGTATCCATTGCCTTCCCCAGCCTTCAGCTGGTGTTCAGTCTGGACATGGAAAGGGAGAGGACCCCTGGGGGGCACAGAGCCACAGAGGCACCTGGGAACGGCTCAGTCGTCCCTGAACAGCCAGCGCTGCCATCTTTGGCAACAACTCCAATGTCTTACACACAGACCTCCCCACACTTGAGGGTGATGAGGAATGAGACAGGACCCCTGGGGAAGTCAGGCTGCCTGGGCAGACAGGACACACATGCCTGAAGATAACTAACGAGTAAGACAGCACAGGGAAGGGCCTGACTGCCCAACAGTTCCAGGAAGCCTGCCTGCTCAGGGCACAGCAGCCCCTCCCAGCCACAGCAGTCTGGGAAGTTTTCTGGGTGAGGCAGGGTCTGGGGAGCTGGAAGAGAGGACCAGATTGCCAGAGACGCGTATTCCCACGTCACAGGGCCAAGAGGGGTCAGGGAGCTCCGACATCACAGAACAGATAGGAGGAGGATCTCCCCGTCCAGAGGCAGCAGAGATCAGGGAGCAACATTCCTAGGTTCTAATCGGAGTATCTTAGGGAGAACTGGCATTTCTTGACCCTTGTGTTGTCATCTATAAAATAGAATTATTATCCCTTCCTTCCGGGCTCTGCCCTTCCCTTGCAGCTCTAACCCCTGGCCCCCTTCCCAGGGGCTGCTTCGGAGAAAATGAATGTGCCTCCAGCTCCTGGAAGAGGAGCCTATGGAAACAGAAGGGCCAACCCTAAGGAGAAATGATGGAGACAAATCACAAAAGGGCTCCTTCTCCGAGGAGGGACCCCTGAACCAGGATGGACAGGAGCGGCTAGGGCCCGCCCTCAGCACCCAGATGACATTAGTTCCCCAGTTGTCCTGTAACAAAGGACCATGAACTAGTGGCTTAAAACAGACATTTGTTTGGGTTTGGGAGGCTGCGAGTCTGATAAGGAAACATCGGGCCCTTCCACCCCAGAGCTGCACGCTAGACCCCGCGACAAGGTGGAGCTCTCTGCTTAACTCCCTCTGAGGCCAAGGCATGGGAGGAGGGCGAGGCTTGCACCAGGATGACCTCTGGGCCTGCGGGGACCTCTGGGTCCCTCAGGCCACCCTCACAGTCACTTCGGGCTCAGTGAAGACCAGCTTCTTGCCCCGTATGGCCAAAGACACCTCAGGGGCCCAAGGGGGAAGCATGACAACCTCTGAACCTAGGAGCCTGTGCCCGTTCTCTGGGCACCCCAGGCCTTCTTGGTGAAGGTCAACTTCAGAACAAACCTCCTTCCTATCTCCCCCTTTCTGCCTTCAGGGACCCGGCCCGTACTGTGGTGTGATGGCAAAAGGATGCACTTAGAGGTAGACCTGGCCTTCAGTCACTCTACCAGCTCCATGACCTTGGGTAAGTTATTGAACTTCTCTGAGCATTAATCTCAACTCTGAAAGGGGAACGAGCCAGCTCGCGGGGCTACCATGAGGGTTCGGGGTGGGGTCTTGATGCAGAGCACTGCACGGGGGGGGGGGGGGGCCTCGGCTCCACCCCCGTGCCCCAGCCCTGCCCTGCCAGGCAGATGCCTCAGCTCAGCTCCTGGCGGGCGATCTGCGGTCGGTCTCACCAAACTTCCTCCAGCTAGTCATTTCAAAGCAACACCCAGGTGGCTTTAGTTGTAGAGTTATTTGGTTCTAAGACTGTACAGGCCAAAGCAAAACAAAAACAAAGGGGCACTAGAAAATGCAGTATTAACCTAAGTTGACATAACATAAGAAGCAGAAGTCAGGGTTGTCCTGGTCCTCCAGAGCAAGTCAGTGGGGACAATCCCCAATATCAGGGGTCCCTTCTCAGACCTTCTCAGGACACTTCAAGGGACCCCCATTCTTGCACTGGGAGTCCCTCCACACAACTCTCTGGGTTGGACCAGCTGTGGCCACTCAGAGACCACCCAGATCGCCTCCAACACTCCTGCACCTGTCTGTCCAGTCACCAGCCTGCTTCCCCCTCTGCACGCTCCCCCCCCACACACACACCATCACCCTCCAGCCTCCAGCCTATTTGCTACCCCAGCCAGGAGTGCCCTCTCTATGTCACCCCAAGATTTCCCCTCAGACCTCAGGCCGTCTTGCAAAGGACCCACAGGTTAATGGACCCTCAGCAACACTGCCCTCCAAGTTTC